CTCGCACTAGGACCACCAGGGATCAGGGATGGCAGCAAGGATCCCCCCTCCCAGGCAAAAGGTAAGAAGGGAGGGGGGCTATTTTCTAATTTGTACCCATACCCCGACAGACAATCCCTCTAAACAAATTCACACACACAAACCTACACACCACCCTCACACACACACAGCACACTAACAGCACCCTCACACACAGCACGCTACCAGCACCCTCACACACACACACAGCAGTGTATGTATGTGTGTATATATATATATATATATATATATATATATATTTGTAGTCGGGGATATTAAGCCGTATCTGGAGTAGTAGGTGATGATTGCTAGTCGGTTGTGGTGTGCCTGAACCGACGATCGGGTAGGCCTGAAATAATGAGGGCCCACCTAAATAGTATTTGCTAAGGGGTGTTGCTGGGTCAATCTCGGCCCTGATTAGAGGTAGGTCTGGGTATAAATATGCAGGGTAACCCCTCCCACAACTACAGGCTCCGCCTTAACATTTGTAGTCGGGGATATTAAGCCGTATCTGGAGTAGTAGGTGATGATTGCTAGTTGGTTGTGGTGTGCCTGAACCGACGATCGGGTAGGCCTGAAATAATGAGGGCAAAAAGGTTTTTTAAACAGAACACTTTAATGCTTTATAAATTCACATGAGCAATTCCTTGAAAGCTCTCCTAAGTTCTTTTTCTGGCTGTGGAATGTATTTGCCGTAAGCTGCTGATTTCCACCTTCCTAGTTTTTTTAATGATGTGTACGGGGACGTTTTTGCTGGATGCGGCTGAAGCAGCGCCGATCCTAAATGAATGTCCTGAGATGGACATGGGGTCATGACCCAGTCTGACCATCAAGGCCCTTACGTAGTGTATGAATTTAGCCGTGGACAGGGGTTTGTCGGCAATTGTGAGTAGGGGTGAGTAGCTTTGTTTATCTTTGAGGGCTGTAGAGGGACCCATTGTCTTTTCCCTTGATAGATGGACTCCTAGAGTGGAGAAAAGTGCAGCAGTTTTATCAATGCTGTGGGGAGTACAGTTAGGTTCCTCTACTGTGAGGAAGTCATCCAGGTAGTGTATTGCTACTGGGCAGCCACACACATTTAATAGTAGCCAACACAGTGTCGAACAGTTTGGGACTGCTTTTGGCCCCAAAAGTCAAACGCGTGGCGAAGTAGTACTGGCCCTTCCATTTAACTCTGTGTAAATGCCACAGGGACGAATGTATGGGTCTCCGCAACACCACTACCCTCAGTGCCTGAGCCTGTCTCCACAACACCACTTCCCTCAGTGCCTGAGCCTGTCTCCACAACACCACTTCCCTCAGTGCCTGAGCCTGTCTCCACAACACCACTAGCCGCGGTGCCTGAACCTGTTTCCACAACACTACTACCCTCAGTGCCTGAGCCTGTCTCCACAACATCACTACACTCAGTACCTGAGCCTGTCTCCACAACACCACTACCCTTAGTGCTTGAGCCTGTCTCCACAGCAGCTAAAGCCCAAAAAATTCTGAAGGCATTGCCTCCCTATTTGAGGCAGCTAATATCAATTCCTCAAGTTACACCTACTGAGTCTCTTGAGCAGGTGATGGTGTCCTTGGATATAGTGCCATACCAGCAAGCAACTCAAGCTAAAGATGAGGGGATCAGAGAGGCAAGGGAGATGCAAAAGAGAAAAGAAAATACAAAGATTAGGGACATAAGCAAATCTCTTACCTTATACGTCTAAGTAAACTCCTCTCCTACATTGTAAATAAACTTGGATATTTGTTTAGGTCCAAACTGCTATTCGTCCTAATTTGGGTCGATCACATGATTGGTCGACTTCCAAAACTCAGTGTCAAAATGTATATAAAACACGAACCAACCTAAACGCACATGAACGGGAGTCATGATTCTGAATTTCGCTTGTGGAGCTAAAAGAAAAAGAAAAAAAAGAGATGATGGATATAAAGATGGTTGATGGCAAGCGGGCAATCAATGAATTTTAATTGTATTCACAAATCAAGTGAGAGGGGAGAGCAGTAAAACAAATCTGTATTTATTTTCTTTATATTATAACATTTTATTAATATATTACTATAGATTTTTGTTCAACTGATCCTCCTGTTTTTCCTCTACTGCAGGGAAAACGCTCCTATCAGTGCATTGCAAAATACATATATTATACTGTATATATAAATAATTAGCAGTACACTGATCGGCCCACTTCTGTGTCCTTTCGGTTCGTCTGATTCGTTTTTTTGATATTAAAATTCGGCCAAGCCAAACCGACATTCAGCTGAAATTCATGACTCTGGAAACATTTTCTGCTTTCGGGGAAAGTGGTTAAGCCGATTCTAATTTTCTCGCTGTGCCCAAATCTAGGAAATACAAATGATGCATTCATGTAATATGAGCTACTTTAAGTTGATACTTCAGCATTAATAGCAGATAATGGCATTTATACAGCGTCAAATTATTCCATAGTGCTTTACAATATTATAAAGGACAAGTCTTATAATAAATGAGACAATTACAAAATGTTACAGGAACAATACGTTGACGAGTACCCTACTCAAATGAGCTTACAAACTAGATATAAAAGTAATGTGCAAGAAGATGGTGAAAGATTTGGTAAGCTTCACAAAGTTTAGTCATAATTGATGCATACAATTTACCATATAACAAATTTAAACCTATTTAGTTTAGAAAAACGTCGCCTGAGAGGGGATATGATAACATTTTACAAATATATTCGGGGACAATACAAACCATTGTGTGGAAATCTATTCACAAACCGGACTTTACATAGGACACGAGGTCATGCGTTTATACTGGAAGAAAGAAGATTTCGTCTAAGGCAAAGGAAAGGTTTTTTTTACTGTAAGAACAATCAGGATGTGGAATTCTCTGCCTGAAGAAGTGGTTTTATCAGAGTCCATACAGATGTTCAAACAGATACTAGATGCATACTTGCAAAAACAGAATATTCAAGGATATAATCTTTCAATGTAGGGTAATAACTGCTTGATCCAAGGATAAATCTGACTGCCATTCTGGGGTCAAGAAGGAATTTTTTTCCTAGCTTGTTGCAAAATTGTGCTTCAAACTGGGTTTTTTGCCTTCTTTTGGATCAACAGCAAAAAACAAATGTAAGGAAGGCTGAACTTGATGGACGCAAGTCTCTTTTCAGCTATGTAACTATGTAACCATAGGATTGACACAAAAAAAAGAGAACATTACTAGTCTAGTAAAGTCTAAAATAAACAATTTGGAAGACCCATCATGTGGAAACAACATTAAATAAAAGGCGCAATCCCTCAGTCTATTAAACCTGATTCTCTTGCACAATCTTATTTGTCGCCTGACTTACCTCCTTCGCAACTAATGCTAGATGAAGTACACCACATACCAAAAATCAGCACCAGAATTAATTCCTTGAGATGTTATTGAAAAAATTAACTGTAAAATAAAAACCCAAAGTTGCCTGAAAAGTTCCCATAATATAAGGATTCTCCCTGATCTTTCAGTTGGTAACCATATGCGGCACAGAAAATGTTCTAGTATTACTGAAGTTCTTTAACAAAACTCAATCTCATATAAGTGGGGCTACCTGATAAAATTAATTATTATAAGAAATGGTGCTTCACACAAAGTTTGTAAGCAAGCAATAATTAACAGTGTTTACAAGGACTGTTTAGGTCTCCTAATTCGAAGACACCTACCAGACTGCCTACACTTAAGAGAAATTCGATGTCTCATACCTAAATTTTTTTTAAAGTTCCACTTTAGAAAGACTTGTATGTTTTTCGTGCTGTGACAGAGTTCTTGTACTCCAACCGAGTAATTCTGCCCAATCTGCTTCTGAGCCGTTGGTGAGGGAGCTTGCAACTCCAACTCCAGTCGCCGAGGCTTAACTGAGGTCTCTCAACTGAGGCTGCTGCTCTCCTTCCAGGCAGTTATCGTCCCCTCTGCCTATTCAGCTGCAGTCCTCTCCCCCGCAGGTATAGTCCCCTCTGCTTATTCCGCTGCAGCCAGGCTTCCAGGAAGGTATCATCCCCTCTGCCTATTCTGCTGCAGCCCTTCTTTCAGGCAGGTATCTACCTCAATGTGATTTATATTGCCTTTACAAAGGCACTTGCGGATAGTGCCAACAACTTCAAAGACCATTTACTGGGATCCCTAAAAATCCACACAGGACACATAGATCCAAATGGAACCAACATACAATACTTTATTTTACTTGGGACTAGCTCATATGTTTGTTACACTCAATAAAATACAATTATCCAAATCATAGCAGAAAACACAATGGGAACTTATAATATCGTAACAATATACAAAGGAGTGGGGAATGCAACAACTAACACAAAATCTCTCTCATGCTCACAGAATTGGCAATATGCAACTCTACCAGAATATGCAGATTAGCAAGCCTTGGTATTTATGTAGTGCATATAGATGTTGCTAGATCCTTGCAACCAACAGGTGGCACTGCACAGCCAAATCCACGTAGTTGAATGCAAGCATTAGCAAGGCAAGAGAGCACACTGACAATTAATCCCAAAACGACCACATTAAACAGACACCTTGCACCCACAATGGACACAGGGTGACTTAAACATAGGAATCATCCAGCGACCTAATTAAATTGTTCATCTAAAGCTCCTGGTGATGGTGACTACTGTCACATTGCTGGTCTACAATGCAGCTGTTTGTGATATGACTTCACAAGATGGTTTGGTTCTTTTGCAATCTGAACATGTAAAAAAATATATTCTCTCACTTTATTTTTTTGTAATTCTTTATTTTTAGTGTGCATTGGTAGAACAGTGATATTATGCATTTTACAAGATTAAAAGTCACATGTAGAAATATCCAGCATACAATAAGATGGATTGCACATTTTATAAGGGAGAAGAAGAGTACCATAATGCACACACAAGGTTACAGATATATAAAGCATTGCAGAACATATACACCAAATAGTGGTACATAATACAAAAACAAGCAAATAAGAAGTGTTGCTGCTGGTGTAAGTAGCCCGGTTTGGAGTTACCCAAGTTCGAGTTAGGGCCTAGTTACCCAATTACCATCAATGGAAGAGAACAGTCCAACACACAAGAGCAGTAGGCCTTAGATGCACAGTTCCCAGGATCACCAATCTTCCATCCAGATATAGATTGAGGCGTCCTTGCCAGTCCTTGCCAAAACTGCATGTTTTATATATCTTTCACTATTTACACTTGGTGTATGTATTTTGCGCTCACCATACTATTGATTTTATTTTGCTGTATGTTTTCTGTGTGATTTGGAGTGACTCACACGTGGTGATCTAGAGCATTTATTCAATATTTTTCCTTTTTTTTTTTTTTTTTGGTTTATATGTCCTTGCCAGTGAATCAGTTTCTGGGGCTGCTGCGGGCCGGGTACCACGAGCTGGCTTAAGAAAATATGGTGGCGAGGTGCAACTCCCAGCTTCGTCCATAGAGACGGGTGTTAAGGCCTCCGAGCTTTCCTAGCAGCGAGCATGCATCTGGCTAGCTCAGTAGTCAGGCTTTGTGCCCCCTTTCTCTCACTTAAAAAAAAAAAAGTTAAATAATTTTAATACATTTCAATATTCCCAAAATCTAAAAAATTATTTCAACATCTCTCGTAACTCTAAATATTTTATCCCTTGTAATAACAAGGGGAAAAAATTAATTCTCTATTACATGCATTTGGATTATTTGATGCCTGGAGGGTGGATGAATAGTGCAGAAATTAAATTTATGATTACTTGATAAGTTTATTTTACAAGATGGAGATATATGTACTATTGGAGCTCTAGCTTGGCTTTGATCACGTCCCCATATTTATTTTACATAACATATTTACATGATATGCATCACTTTGAGACAATTGTCTCATTCAAAAGCTTTAGCTTTCAGCGAACCAGTTGCTTCACTCTGCAGGCTAAAAAGCAGGTACATATAATTTTCTTTTTCATGTTTACCTGCTGCTTCTTTGTTATGCTTTCCACACCTACTCCAGGCGATACACTGATCTAAACAATCAGTGTCCTATCCCTAAGAATGTTGGAAAAGTGCACTGTGCATGCCTAGCAGAGTCACACATGTGCAGTAGGAAGAGCTCTTTAACTTGCAACATTCTGACAAGGTGAGAAGAAATGGAATCTGATCCATGTGATCATGCAGAGCAGGCTCCAGTGTTGGGTTTCTCTCTCCTGCTGCTGCAGAATGATGCACTGTTTAGGTCATTAACAGACTGGTCTGAAAATGTCCTGGGTGGGTAAGGGGGGAGGTGAGGCTGAAGAAGCTCCTCTGGTTGAGAGGCTTGCCCAATAATGCAATCTGACCAAGTTTATAAATATTTATTTTTCAAATACTTTTCAAAGTTTTTCTGGTCCTATTATGGGGTCTATATTGGTTTAAAAGGGTTTGCTTGCTGGTTTTAAAAAAAAAAAAAAATGATGCATATTCCTTTATGGCTATTGAAGGAGACAGGTAGGCCTTCCAGAAATTATGTAAAAGAGAAAATGTTTTTGGAGGTCAAATTAAAAAGTGAACATGATCGGCAAAAATTAGAAAGTGAACCTGATTTACTTCAAACAAGTAAATAAAATATATCTTTGTCATAAAAAAAAAGTCATAAGAAGAAAACTTAAAAATAATGTAGATCTTATTAATTTGCATAACCCTTACAAAAACTTTACATCTTAAAGCAAAACTCCAATAAGGCTAATAAGATGTCGGCATCCAAAACTTAGGAAAGAACAGACAGTCTCACAAAGTCAGTTTATAGTGGATCACCAGAAAAATAAATCCAATAGATATTGTGAATTAGCAAAAAGATAAAATAGGGCTGCGCCAAGCTAAAAGAGATAGTCCAGTAAAATCTCACTAGGATACCAGTGGATAATCAGGAATACTTGATAGGGTATGGTTTCTTGGTAGAGGTAGGTACAGCTGATGTTGACCGATCAGTATATGAAAACAGAAGAGAGGTAGAGGCAACCAGTGCTGCAGTATGTCTAAAATTCAAGGTGCAGTAAATAATATGAGTAGAGAACTCACATTTGGGAGAGCTATGGCCAGCTCTGGTGTGAATAGCATACAGCGGTATAATCCCTGTTTATGGGATATGTAGGCAAGGGGTAACCGTCAGCACCGTCTGGTAATCCAAAGCTCGGAAAAAAGATAAAAAGCAACAATAGTGCTCTCAATTGTGATAAGGTTCAATGTGCAATAGGTAGAGAACTCACATTTGAGAGAGCTATGGCCAGCTCTGGTGTGGATAGCGTACAGCGGTATAATTCCCGCTTATGAGATATGCAGCCGAAGTGCCTCTGTCAACACTATCTGGTAGTCCAAAGCTCCAAGAGAGAAAAGTAAAAAGCAACAATAGTGCGCTCAATTGTGATGGAGTAAGAAAGTAAAATAGGAGATAAAATAATACTCACAAAGATAGAACAGAGATACTGCTCAATGGATAAGCTTTGGTGGTATGATCCCCACCTAGGATTTCTTGGAGTACTGGAACAGTAAAAATGCCAGTGGAAGTAAAAATAACCAGGAACGATAAGTAAGGAAGGAATAAGTAAAAAAAAAAAAAGTTTAAAGTGCATAGAGAGTGCAATAAAAAGAGGATTGGTACAATAAAGTAGCCAAAAAACCTTTATTGTTCTAAGATACACAATAAAATACAAGATAAAATAACCATAAACGCGTTTCACCATAAGTGGCTTCTTCAGAATGGGATAAGAATGGTAACCTGGCAGGGGATGTTTAAATAGGGCTGAAATGATTAAAGAATTGTGCCAAAATTGTAATTGGCCAATCAGAAACCGTTTTGTAAATAGCAAGTGAAAGTACATATTAGAGTATACAGAATAAAGGATGTATATAGTGTGAGTACATATAATATGATATAGTATAAAAATGAAAGGTTTAGCAGCATATAAATGATAGACAAGGGGGGCGGAGCTAGCATCCGACGGCAACGGTCGCTCTCTGCTTGAGCTCCGACAAACGGGCACGAAAAACGCCCTAATCCTGCTGAACATAGGGGTACAACACCCCCCAACAAGCCCCAGACAACTCTCCTTACGATGGGGAGAAAAACCAAGAAGCCCCGTCCGGATCGACCGAGATTCTGTGCCGATATCGGCGACCTCCTGAGGGGACCGCATGGCGCGGGGAGGACTGACATGGCGGCGGACATGGGAGATTTCTCAGACGACTCGGCTGACTACTCCCTCCACGATACAGAAGAGCGGGGAATTAACCCTACAACATCTGCCCAGCCAGCAGCCAAAGGGTCAGAACCTCTCACCACAGGGATACTTACCGGCCTCCTGGCGGATCTCCGCCACAGCCTCTCCTCAGAAATCTCCCAGGTGAGAGAAGACCTCAGGGGGTTTAACGGGCGCCTAAATATAATTGAGCAGACAACCACAACACATGCAGCCCACATCCAAGGGCTGCAGAATCAGATTGCCACTCTCACTGCAGCTCACACCACTCTGAGCCACCAATTAGCAGCAATGGAGGACAAGAGAAGGTGGAAACACCTAAAGATCAGGGGCCTCATGGACACTATCACACAAGCAGAACTACCCCACTGCCTGCGTAGGCTCTTCACAGCACTGTTGTCACCCAAACAAGCAAAAGGTATCACACTAGAGGGGATGTTTTGGCTCCCAAAGCCTCCTGCAGCTGCGGCCTCCAACACCAGCGACCTACTGGTCAAATTCCAAAACAGCCAAGATAAGGCAGCCATCTTGAAAGCAGTGAGGGGGAAACCCCCATTCCGCTTTGAGGATATGGACATTACCTTCTACTCAGATCTCTCTCGACCGACACTTCAGTGGCGGAAGACGCTACGACCACTCACATCCATACTATCAACAAACGGAATCAAGTACCGATGGGGCCCAACACACATGCTCATTATCCAGCACCAAAACACGGAGATCAAGGTAGCGGAGGCATCGCAGATAGAGGCAACCCTGACCAATCTGGGCCTGAACCACGCAGCAACGCCAGCACCAACAACATGGGACCCGGCCAACTCTGTCCCGTTCATCCCGGCAAATCGGAACTTACCCAGCCGTGCAACTACGTGACTCTGGACATTACATCTTTTCATTTATATAGCTGCTTTTATATATGGTTACGTAACCTCTTGGGATTCTTTGTTTTTACCGTTTTTATCGTTTTTTCTCTCGTATTATGAGGCACAGGCACCTCATAGGGCCAGCCTCACGCTGAGAAACTGTAGACGCAGCATAAGTTATACTGTTGGTATTGTACCCTTTCTGTTTTTTGTTTGTGTTATATACACCGTTTAGACACCGCGCAACATACCACACCATGCACTAACAGCAGGCCACACCCATCTCCGCCACCTCCCAGACCTAAACAAGCCGAAACTCAGAAACACTAGCTCCTTCATGAACACCTTACCCCCCCAGCTCCGCGCTAGGAACCACTTACACTTACTCTACCAAGTGGAGCTGTGCCCACTCAGCACCCAACCCGCCATAGAAAGATATCGCATTTTCTCTCACTTTCTGAAACCACAGAGCCATACATGTCCCAGACACCTACACTAACCACAACCATCGCTAAAGACATGACCAGTAACAAGCTACATTACCATAAAACAAAATACCACAGCCAACATCGCTATCCCACCAATATATGCAGAAGATTAAAAACAGTGATATGCTTCATTGTATGTATTACTCGCAATATATATATATATATATCTTGTTGACTGTGACAAAATAAAGAATAAAAAAAAAAAAAAAAATGATAGACAAAATTAGCTGGTGTGGATCACGTGATGCGGATGCCACGGGCGGCAAGGTAGTATGTGAAGTGTAGTTGTATCCGCCCGTCGGCGTGACATAGAGGGGCGTGATGCGCTGAACACGTATAGAAAGAGATAGGGTAGTGGCCCCATCATGCATAAATGATGCATCATGCATCAATGATGGGGCCGTTGCCGTCAGCCATGATGCGGCTGGCGGAGCACACCGAGGAGATAGGGAGAAAGAGCCAACCACGTACTGGGCATGCGTGGTTGGAGGGGAGTGGTTAGGCAAATGAGTGCCAAACCTCTTCACAGAGGATATCGGCATGAGAGTGGCAGAAGTGTAAAGCCACAAAGGGAAGCGGGGTGGAGGGGCATAAGAATAGAAGCATATAGAAGTGGAAAGTAATAAAGTACAGGATATGCAAAATTAAGGAATATTCATAAAGTACAGGATATGCACAATAAAGGAATATACATAAAGAAGGTGGATAATATAATACAGATAAATATGGAGGATATTGACACATGAGTAGTTTGTACAGGACATTATTATTATTATTATGATATTTATAGAGTGCCGTCAAATTCCACAGCGCTTTACAATGGGTGGACGAACAGACATGTAGTTGTAACCAGACAAGTTGGACACACAGGAACAGAGGGGTTGAGGGCCCTGCTCAATGAGCTTACATGCTAGAGGGAGTGGGGTAAAATGACACAAAAAGGTAAGGATAGTATAAGACTAGTGACAGTTGCAGAAGAGGAATCAGTCAGGAGCTATTAACGGTTTAATTGATACGCTTTTATGAAGAAGTGGGTTTTTAACGATTTTTTGAAGGAGTGGAGACTGGGTGAGCATCTAACGGAGGAGGGAAGTGAGTTCCACAGGAACAGTGCAGCCCTCGAGAAATCTTGAAGGCGAGCATCAGAGGTGGGAGTACGGACAGAAGATAGACGTAAGCAGATCGTAAGGGTCTAGACGGGAGATACTTGTGTATAAGGTAGGATAGATAGGTGGGAGCAGCATTATGTAGAGATTTAAAAGCAAGAACCAGAATTTTAAATTGAGCTCTATATTTTGTAGGAAGCCAATGTAGGGAATGACAGAAGGGTGAGGCATGGGAGGTGCAGGCGGACAGGAAAATGAGCCTCGCCGCCGCATTCATTATGGACTGTAACGGCGCAAGTTGGGAGCACGTAAGACCACTGAGAAGCGGATTACAGTAGTCAAGGCGAGAAAGGACAGTGGAATAGACCAACACCTTATAACTACAAACATAAGAGATAAGGGCAATAAGGTGCACATAAGTAGTAAAATAGGGTCGAATAAAGGAAAGTTATTATAATAAAAAATAGTAGTATAAACATAGAAGTAAGGAGTAAAAATTGGAAGAGATGCAATAAATAGAAATAAAAGTAAATACAATTAGATAAAATTAAACAGATCAAAATCTACATTTAAGCCAGATGGGGTGAGAGTTTTAAAGTTAAAAACCCATTCCATCTCAGCTTTTCCAAGTATATTCTTAATGTTTCCGCCCCTCCATGGAATTACACATTTTTAAATACCAATACACTTGAGGAGTTTTGTGTCATTGTGATGTGTGCAGAAATGTTTAGAGACTGAGTGATTAAGGTAGCCCTTTTTAATATTTCTACAGTGCTCACTCAGTCTGATTTTAAGGTTTCTTGTAGTCATACCCATATACTGAAGACTTACTGGGCACTCCAGTAAGTAGATGACATTCTTGGTGTCGCAGCTGATAAAATCTTTGATTATACAGGTCTTGTTCGTAATGTTAGATTTAAAACTGGTAGTTTTGGAGGGGACAGAAGGGTCTGTGTTCTTGCATACAATGCATCTTTTACATTTATAAAAACCTGGCATTAGAAATAAAAGAGTTAATAACAGGTTTGGTTTCTTTAGTAAAATTGGTGGTCAGAATTGATTTAAAATTGGGGGCACCTCTAAAAACATTTGGTTTATCGGGTATAATATTTTTCAGTATTTCATCCTCTTTTAGAAGGTGCCAGTGTTTTTTAATAACTTTTTTGATATGGCCACTTTTGTTATTAAAATTGAAAATGACAGGGAGAGGCATAGAGTTAGTGGTAGGTTGGGTTCTGTAAGTTAGGTTACATATAGTGAACTAACTTTTGGCTTATTATAGTTTGCTTTAAATTCTGACTTCTAATCCAGAAATACCCCACTAATTAAAAATGTCCATTAAGGAATTTTTAGAAAATGATTTATCTTTCTCTCTACAATACTCAAAACTTATGGTTTCTCTCCAAGCACTAGTTACAGAGGATGAAGTTACTGCAGCAATTAAACATCTCAAAGGGACACTATAAGCATCAAAACATATTTTGCAGAAGTGGGGGAGAGGGTGCGGAGCCTGACTGCCGAACAGGGCACACGCACCGGGAAACAGCTCCCGACCAAAGCGACCAAATCCAGGGGTAAACCCCGAAAAGTGGAGCGGACACCGTCAGGCAAAGCAACCAAGACCACACACCCACACTCTACCTGGCCCACCCAAGCTGCAGGCCACTGGGCGGATAACCCGGATGCATTGCCCACACACACGGAGGCAAACAAGACGCAAGCGTCGGAAGATCCCAAAACCCTCCATCACTCCCGCAAGAGGAGAAAACTCGGGCCCTAGAGGTGACTGGGTTTGGGGCCAAGTAAACATATATACTTGTCTCAAAGAATGCGTATACCAAAGTATTTAGCATAAACAATACTGCCGTTCGAGAGTATAGCCTTAGAATTGATATTGTAAACGTCTTAATATCTAGCAAGTTAGGCAAGTTACGAAACTAAATGCATATGTCTTTGGTTAGATCCCTTACGACAGCTTATGATCTGACTGCTAGAAGCTAAACTTGTCTGGATAACTTAAACAATGCTATAACTAACTATGCTTGCCTATATTACACCATTAGAATATAAAATTGTGCTTGTAACTCATGGGTCCCGCATGTTTAGCGTGGAAAAAAAGCATGAGGACTGCTTTCGGGGCACCCCAGGCCAGCTTGTAACATTTATATGCACTGCAAAAATAATAAAAACATTTTTTTTAAAACAAACATATTTTGCTTAATGAAGTGGTTTTGGTGTATAAGCCAAACCCCTGCAGTCTAACAGCTTAAAGGGACACTATTGTGGGGAGTGGGGACACTGCCCCACTCCCAGCAGTCTATGAATGTTTGTATGACACATGGTATTTATTTCTTACATTGTTTGACTTCATATGTCCCCAAAGCATTTTGGGTTAAAGTGTGTGTAACATTCTTTGAAGTTTGTGAGACATTCTTTACAGTCTCACCCATGGAAACTGAAGAGGGAGTGTTATTAAAGGGTCAGTTCTGTCTTATTGAGTCAGAATTGTGCAATTGTTTCATATTAGAACATGACACCAGAATGCCTTGAAAAAAAACAAACCCTGAATTTCTTATACATACGCACACATAATAATAGCAATGAACTAATGCGAATAAGGCCATAAATGAACTTGTAATATTATGCATAAATAAATATATGTTAAAGCAATAGGCTGTTAAAGCTGCTCCGAACGTTGTCTTTCAGTTGGTGAAATGACAGTATATTCAAGTTTAGATTTGTAATGCAGAACCAGGGTCACAAAGCTGAGGAATACAACCTTACAAAGCAAACAGTGGTTGGGTAAGGTTTGTAGTCATATGAAATGGTTTGAAATTACATAATGAGAACAGGTTGTGCACTTACAATAAAGGCAGAATCAGCATACTATGCAGTTAGGAAATTCACATTGCACAGGCAGATGAATGAAATGGTTGAGAATCTATATTTTTTTTTATGTGTGAATGATATACTGCTTGTGAGTTCTATCAACTTTTTCTTGGAACTGGAGGAAAAAGGAGATGGAGCCAGGGTGCAAGAGGATTTAGCATTACCCTAACATTTTCATTGTGGTGACTGATGCTTTTTAATGTGTCATGTTTTAAGCTCTCTGAGTTGCCCAACTTGACGTGCAATGGACAAATAATCTTCTGCTATAATAAGTGTGAAATATGTATATCATTTGCACACCCAAGGCCACAATCATTAAAGATTCAATGATGTTTTGACAGGTGTGGTTCAATTATGATGTAGTTTATCTTGTTCAACCAGCTTTAAAAAAATCTTCTAAATGATTTCTTGAGAAAGTTCTACACAAGGTATGGGCTTAAAAACATCTAAGTCAAGTTTGCAACCAGGTTCTTTTTTTCATGGTATAATATAATGTAAATTTAGAAACAGACTTAATTCACAGGGCAAAATTAAGGTCCCACCAACAATGCAATGAAATATGATGTACATTTTGGGCACCCTTACAATGGTTGTTCTAGCTTAGTCAGTAACCCGGAATATCAGTATCCCTAAATTAAACTTCCAGAGGAGAGAACCAAAAATCACAGCACCTAGGCAGTAACCAAGTATGGCACATTCTAAGTAGCAGCTAAATGTAAAGAGTGACTAACTATAGAACCAGACATTCACACCACATAGTAGCCCACTGTACACAACTAACCCAAAATGTTCCTCATCCCCTCTACAGCACACCCTTTGCAGTATGGCTGTGTGTGTGGATGCGTATTTGTGGAAAACGAACAACAGATTTAGGGATACGGCTTGGTTAATCTAAAACAAAGGGAAATAAACAAAAAATAGTACAGTACAGTAAAGAACAATGGATCATGGATTTATTTGTAAAAAGGTGAACAATCACCATAACCATATATGTAAATATAAAAATATATAAAAGAAAACGGTCCTACGCGTTTCGTTCCTGGGCGGAACTTCCTCAGGGACCACAATGGTATAAAAGATATATACAATCACAAATCAATAATAACAAATCCTCAGGATTCCTGGGCGGAACTTCCTCAGGGACCACAATTTTATTTGTGATTGTATATATCGTTTATACCATTGTGGTCCCTGTGGAAGTTCCACCCAGGAATGAAACTCGTTGGACCGTTTTCTTTTATATATTTTTATATTTACATATATGTTTATGGTGATTGTTCACCTTTTTACAAAGAAACCATCCTTTCAACCTTCATCCATCTGGAGTTCTGTTCTGTCATCTGCTGTTCGTGGAGTGGAGAGTGGGATTACTAGCCCACCAATAACTCCGGGGGCACCCTAACAGCGCTGTGTTCGTCACCATCCTGTGAGTGCATTTCATGTGGCGCATGATCAAGTGTTCTTTACTGTACTGTATTATTTTTTGTTTATTTCCCTTTGTTTTAGTTTAACCAAGCCGTATCCCTAAATCTGTTGTTGGTTTTCTATATTCTGTGTAAAGATCGGTTTTGGGTAACGACCTTGGGAGGCTGTCTTGTGATATTTAAAAGCTAAGTATTATTTATACTTATAATCCACTGATAATCACTGTGGTGATATTTGGTTTTGTATTATGGGATGTGTATTTGTGTTGTGTGGTAGTGTATGTGACTATGACAGTGCATCCATGCAGTGTGGCAGTGTGTGAATACATATGGGTGTATTTTTATAACGTGTTGTTGTGTTAATGCGGCTTTGTGTGGATTGCCTATGTGTATAAGGCAGTGCATTATGTAATGTTTAATAGCGTGTTTGCATTTTTATTTCACATCCCACCCATTCTCTCTGGAACTCCCCCTGCCCATTTGCTTCTCATCCCCTCTCATTTACCATGCACCCCTCAATTCTCATTCTCAGTCCCATTTGGGACTGAATTACCCCCCCTTTAGCATGGCTGAACCTTTCTTACCTTGTTTTGTGTCTTCCAGCCTCCTCAGATCAGGCCTGGTTCTGCTGCTGTGTGGGAGACCCAGAACTTCATTCTGACATTCTGTTTTAACTACGCACCCTTCATACATCATTCTGCCAGCATGAACAGCAGTGAAGAGGCTAGTAACACACAGACTCTTCACTTCTACTTCTGCTGCCAGCCTGGTTGTTTGGAGAAAGTGGAGAGGCAAAAAATATTAGAAGAGAGCCTAAAGAAAGATGTGGGAAACACGATCGGGAGGAGAAATGGATTTGTTTGTTCCTAGGGTGGAAAAGTTCCTTGCACCGGCCGAGGTTTCAACCAATATCATATCAATAAACATACAGATTTTCTAGACTTCCATTTGAGGGCTAATAGTCAGATTACATTTTATAAATAAATAAAAATGGCAAATATGTGTTGCAGTATTCATACAGATTTAAAAAAAAAAAAAAAAGCATTTTTCAGTGAAAATGTTCACTTCCAATCATGCAAATGCTTATAGCTTGTTTACAGGAGCTTGGATGACTCAGAAGAGAAGTACTGTCGATATAAATGGTCACTCAACCAAAGGCATAGGTTATAAATGATTTGGCAACCAAATTACAAACTTTATGACAAAATAACTACGTGGAAGACTTGCTATATTTTTTTTTTTTTTTTTTTTAATTCTTTATTTTTATTCGTGCATGGATAAACAGTCGGGTCTGTCATGCCACAATAACAATGCAAGACCGTATATCAACAAGTGGTAACATGGCATAATAAGTTCTGTGCACAATTTTTAAGTTAAAAAATAAAAGTAAAAGTGACATGCAAACAATGATAGACAAGGCATATGACAGTCGAGTGTTGTTTCAAGCTGGTGTGTCTAAGTTGTAGGCATTTTAACTGCTTAGGTAAAGGGATTTTCTCTTATGAATACGTTGAGATAATTAATAACATGCTTTCATGGGAAGTTAAGAAAATAAGTGATGTGCAAGCTTAAATGAATCGGTTTCATAACTAATATGGCACACTAGCTTAGATAAGGATGTCTTGATCTGGGGTACCAGGTTACTATATTACAGGCTAGGAAAATATGCTAGTAAAATTATTATTAAATGCAAGTTGTAAATGGCTCTGTGAGGCTAAGTTATGTGGCAAAGATAAGTAAGGCACCCCTACGGGAAACAAAACAGCTTGAAGAACATTAAAACAACGTGGCTCAATAGGAGCCTAGTGGGGGCTTCCTAACCAGGCTAGGTAAATCTGAGGACCTCTGGCTTTGAACTGGCCTCCGGCACAACATTTATCCGTGTGTGACTGGTTTAAGAGAGAGACCATCCAGACGAGCATGGTTGCCCCAGTGTGGGACTAAGGTGTTTTATGCTAGTCTGTAAGATACCAACTTTTGCTGAGTCCGTGTTTCTGATAGCATAGCATTGTTCAGTGTCCATAGTCCTTGGTGAGATGGTAACTGAGATACTTTATGTCTCCGTCTGCATGGGGTAAATATCCCTGCGTCTCAAACAGGGTCGCAGGCCGTGGGCCTCTGTGTGGATCAGTCCGTTTCTCTTCACCCGATGCCTTTTCTAGCGTGGCGGGACATGTGCCCCTTCGAGGTTCCCTCTCCTGTGGGCCGTGGAGGGACTGTCCGCCATTTTCGCCCACCAGCCAACAGCCTCGCTGCGTCCTGGTCAGCGCCACAGGCGGCTTTGTGAGTATTCGCGTGCGGGGTTGCGCTTTTCTGGTTGAGGGTTGTTGGTATCGCAGAGTGGGAGGTTGGTTGGGTGCGCCTGCAGGCCCCGATCTGGAGGATGGGGTCGTGTGTGCTATCCGAGGACCCCGGCGCCGTTTCCCGCCATGATGAGCTTCGGCTTTGTTTCCGTCGTGGGGCCGCTCGGGAATTACAAGGAGGGTTCGCCTGCAGGTGGCGCCGGGCAGCCGGGCGGATCCATGCCATCACTTCTTTCATCGCTAGCTTGTGAGTCTGTCTTTGGGCTTTACACTTTGCCCAGAGGTAGGTGCTTAGCCAGCTAAAAAACTCTAATGTGTGCTTGGGTGGCTTAGTAGGTGTTCGCTTGGTCATAGGCTGTGTCTGAGCCGCCATCTTGGCTAGGTCCTGTCTTTCCCGTTTGGCTGCATGTTTTGTCGCTTGTTCAGGGGGCGATGTGGGGGTAATCGTCCCCAGCGAGGACCGGGATGTCCCCCGCCGGTCCAGAGGGGGGGGTAGCAGGGCTGTAGTGGGCTCTCGTTTGTGAGCTTGACCCGTGCCGGTGGATCGTCCGCCTCTCCTGGGCTTCAGGCTTTTCTCTAATTTAGGCCGCATGGCCGGTAGAGGTTTTTCAGCAGTGTACTGGTGCCGGACAGGTACCGTTTTGTTTGGCATGGTGTTCTGTGTTTGTTCCTGGTCACCCTGTGCTGCTAACATGTTTCTGTTGCTCGGTTTTAGCGCACTTATGCCGGTTGTAGCAGGAGCTCTTAGGATGTGCGACTTGCCATCTTGGCTGTCAGGCCCCGCCCCCGACTTGCTATATTTTTTAACAAAAATTTGGGACTAAATTATCTAATATTTTTTAATCGCTGCAGCTCATTTTTTGTCAAATAATCTCCACAAAATGTCGGATCCTGTTTAGTTACTACATCATTGATATTTACTGCCAAGTACATGATAAAAGAATAGATCCATTGTTCCACAGTAATATCAGCTGCAGTTATGTTTGAGTTGTCGTTTATGCATTGTATCTTAGACACCTGCCTTCTTGTGTGCACTGGCAGATGATTTGACTTTAATCTTCTGAGCTTTGCAGTTGCCTAAGGTTTCCCTCTGATGAACATATGCCAATCGATAGTCATATTTTCGATATGTCTGTTGGATTCATGGGCCCTGGTGGCTTGCTCTGCATCGTAGAATTAATCCCGAGTCTTTTTAGATATGCTTGTCAGCTCACAGACATGTCGCCAGCAGCCTGCCTGACAGCTGAAGCGGAGTAAAATATGACATTTAAATCTTCAAGTAAATAAATATGTGGTCTCAAACGCCTGATGATGTGATTTATTGGTTTATAAAAAAAACTACAAGCACTCAATGTTTGTAATATAAAACACATTAATATTTTAAACTGCAGGAGACTCAACAAGGACAACATTAAGATCTGTTTGTACTTTTCAATTAACCTCTCACCACACTGCATTCTCTTGCACTCATCCTCAGTGAAAGATACCCATAATGCTATCTCTACCCATGCAATATAGCCCTTGAGGGGCTGATATAGCAAGGTACAATGACAATCAAGCAGTGGTATCGGAAGCTAGAGAGGCAGCAGGCATACAGGGGCAGGTCTCCAAACGGTCAAGTTTCGGCAGGACAGTCCCGATTTTTAAGTCCTGTCCCACTTTTGGGGACACCAGAGAACTGTCCCCAATAAGAATAGCAAGAGCTCATCATTAGATTTGATTGCACCATGTTCAGGGCACAAGGACCTTGCAGAGAGCACTAAAACAGTACTGCTTTAGGGTCTGCCATCAGTGGCAGATGATAGGCAGGCAGGCAGCCTATAGTGCATCCCCCCAAGTTGTCTTGCCAGCAATTCGGATGGACCCACCCCTTTTCCGTCCCGATTGGGGCTGAGACAGTGGCATGATTGAATCACTGGCCTGCCCGCTCTACACCTCTTCCACAGGGACCATGCTTCTCAGGATGCATGAGTTGGGAGGTATGCAGGGCCGATCCGTGAGGGTAGTCAGGATCAGTAGAGGACAAGGACAATCCATAGGAGTATGCAAGGATGTACACCAAGGTCTCAAGCTAATAATGAGAGGAGTAACTGGATGGGTTACTTTGGACCCACTGGAACTGAAGCTACAATGGAATGAATTTACACATGGCAAAGTAAACTAGGGAACTTAATAACAGAGCAATGAGACAAGGCAGGAGCAATATGAACCTGTGACACTTAAGCATTCAATCATGACATCACTGAGCAAAGAATGTGAGACTAAGTTAACTCTTACACTAGGCCTTCTGACAGCTAGACTTTAACCCGGCTGAGTGACAGTCAAATTGGGAGGAGAAGAAATAGGACAACTAATCCTGTTACCTGCTGGCGGTAGTGCGAGGGGGAGAATGCAGAACGGATTCTCTTGCCTGGTCTGGATTATCTAACTTTTCTTTCCTGCCAGCAATATGCTCTCTGAACAAAAGGCAGAGACACTTTCAAAAGAGGTGTGAAAATCAACCAGAGAAGAGCCAAGCACGAAGAGGTTTTGTTACTTGTAGTAGTGTACACTAAACAGGAGAGAAATTAAAGATAGTTAGATACATGGCATAGGTCAGCTTCAATAGTATTCAGAATACATAAGCATAGAACACAATGCAGTGGGCGGCTAGCTGAAAACTTATTTTTTACAATCTTTCTTAACTACTCTTTAAAACGTTCAATAAAAATGGCTTGGAAAAGGAATGTTTCTTTTCAAGCCAGTTTTGTGAAACGGGCAGTCACTGATTGGTTGAGAGTGTCAGCTACCCCACGGCACTCTGCACTTCCTGAAACTTCAGAAGCCGGACGCCGCATGGGGGAGCTGAGAACGTCGCTGGAGGCAACTTTGGGGTTAAACCAATCGATAATGGTTTAACCCCTTGAGGTAAGCGTGCCCCTGGGGCCTCATTTGGATGGAGTTGTTTTGGTGCCTGGACTGTCGGTGTTTCGGTGTTGTGTTGGAGGAATAAAACCTAACCGTAATGTTTACTTAAATTGACCAAAGAGGGTTAAAATTAGTAAGAAATGTTACAGGTTGTAAGCATTTATGCCAATGAAATACCATTGAGAACAAAGTAAATGCATTTTAATTAAACATAAATAATTATAGTCAGATTTAGTCCCTAATCTCTAAAATATAGCAAACTCAAAGAAATCCTAATGGCAACATTTAGGCTAAAATGGCAACTTTGTGTCTGTACCGGAGATCAACATTTTGTTTTCGAAATCAGCTAATGTTGCCATTTTGTCTCAGTTCACTACAGCTGAGAGCCAATAGTGTTATTTATTAAAAAGTGAATTATCGACCGTTTCAAATTATTTCCAATTTTAGACCAAATAGCTGAATTAGAAAAATTCAGCTGTGTTTCCAGCTCAGCTATTTTAGCAAAGATGTGAAATTCATGTCAGTTTTATTTCTAGTTCCATATTCTATTTTCTATAGAGCTTTTCCTCAAAATAAATAAATAAGAAAACATTCAATGAGAATTAATGCTAGAACAATTTAAAATGGTGGTTTGACCTGTTGCAATGTCATTAAAGATTTACTCCAAACATCATGACCACTTCAGTGTTTTGAAATGGTCATAATGCTTGGACCCTGTTTTAGTATGGCATGCTGCACATAGAGACTTTTTTGGGCTATCTGCTGGAAGTGCATCTCTAGCTGTATCATTTCGGGATGGCTAATGTCAGTTCTGTGCATATTTCTGTGCATAAAAACACCAATTTTTCAGCTTAGATCAATCCTCTGGCAGTTAAGGAGTTAATCACTGCATAGGCAGCATTTCAAAGCAAAACACTCCACATACCGATTCATACTGATCATGGTACTTGGAGTAACTAGTTAAACAGTGAAAGCACCATAATCACTGAAGAGCACTGTAGTGGTTGTGGTGTCAGGAGAGATCTTACACACCTCCAAGAAAGCAGTCAATCCATTTAGGCCATTTTGCTTATTATCTGTGGACCACCAAACACCACTGCCTGCAAACAACTCAGACTACAGATAGCTGGAAGCTCTCAGTCCGAGCCAAGCATGGCAGTGCAGGGCTAAGCCCGTTGGCTGACTTTCTCAACGAATTAACTAGCCTCGCACTGCAGGACTTAGTTCAAGAGAGCTAATGGATGCTACTAAGGTAGAAGTAGCAAAGGCGGGGAGAAGGTAGGTAATCAAGCTGTTCTAAAATGGTTTGACTACTTACAATGGGGGATGCCATAGATGGTATGGTGCTTGGAGTGTTCCTTTGAGGTTCCATATTGTAGCCATTATCCTAACACATTGTATAATGTCATGACTATTTGACACTGTTAATTGCTTATTGCCTTATTGTACGGGTAATACTTGATCACACAATGATCCACTACTAAGCAAGTATCATCAAGTATCATTAAGTTTGCATACATTTAAGGAGTGTAGAAGCTCTTATTTTACGTTGTATACAATTTGTTGACAGTGATTAGTCATGGTGAGGATTTGTATGTACAGCATCATCATGATCTTCAGTATCAATTATAATTACTGTATTTTTTGGAATATAGGAGATCAAAGACATCCCTCATTGTGTCATTGCAGATTTCTGTAGCTGAAGAGGGGACTCTCTGTATGCACTGACTTTTGTTGTAAAGCCACAAATGACTGGGTTGCCTTCCAACATTAAAAAAGGTTGGGCAGTTGCTTACATTTAAGAATATGAGATTTGCAACATTTAAACATTCCCCGGTGGTCCAGAGGTATTCTAGACTGAGGCTCCTGCTTGTGCCTCCGCCGGGTCCTCCCTGCTCTGATGCTGCACAATGCAGGGGCACACAAGAAGAGTCTGCCATTATGGAGGTGTAAGCATGAGCATATAGAATACCACCTCCTCATACCCCCTGTGGTCAGAAGTAAAAATTAAAATTTAAAATAAAGAATTACACAC